AGCAGCAATATGCTAAGAAATGGCCGGTTTTGAAGATATAGACGATTTAAAAACCCTCTGCAGTTGCAGGAAAGCAACGTAAAAACGCATCGAGCTTATATTTTTACTATGAATAAATCATTTTTCATTAAGTTTTTAGATATGGTATCGATTTATTCAACAACTTTATTACAATATTTTTATTACTTGGAACTTTATTTCAAAATAATATTTTCAAAAATGGCAACTGTTGGCAAGAAGCCATTGACCTCTATAATACCTAGACGGCCCACTCACTACATTTACCCTTTCCCAAAACGGCAGCGCCGCAAGTGGTCAGAGATTCTGTGGGAGGGGGAGGGGGGATTTCGCCCATCCCTCCTGTTTTTCGCCAATAACTCGCGCCGCAAACATAACATTAATGTGAAATTTTGGCTACCTGGCCAGAATTGAATTGCGGATCTTCTCGTGCAAGAAATAAGAAAATTGGCTCACAAATTTTCTAGTAATAGCGGTGTAAAGTCAAACATCCTGCCGCCGCCGCGGTGCGGCGGCGCGTCGGCCGGCGTCAGCCGTTACGCGCCGCCTGAATTGTAGACTGTGCCGGGGCGGGACGGTTCCGTCTTTACATCGCGCTCCTTACCGCTGATTATATTCGATTCGTGTCAAATTTTGTGTGAAGACTAAGAAATGTACAGGCAATCTTATGGTCAAAGAATTTTAAAAAACGGCCGGTAAAAATTTCAGTTATGAGAGTGTAAACACAAAATTGTGATTGCTGCGTTTCCCACGTCGGCCGATCCCGCTTCGGCCAGCGACATCTTACCCTTAGCAGGCTTCTAACTGCCATATTTATTGTTGGATTTACTAGAAAATTCATCATACATTCTCACAAATGTATGTTCTTTCGTATAGTGAAAGAAGAAAGAAAATCGGCCGGTAACTTTTTGAGTTATCGGCGTGTAAACGCAAAAAAGTCGCTCATATTTGACCACATTTGACCTCATTTTACCTTGAAGATATTGACCTAGGGTCATGAAATTCACATACAACAGAGTTCCCTAGGGCCCCCACCTACCTTCCAAATTTCGTCTTTCTAGCTCCAGTGGGAGCTGAGATCTTAGGGGGCGACTCCCCGCCCCCCCCCCCTCCACTGGGCGTAGGTAGTGCTTGCAACCCAGTTCCACTGCGCGTGTTAACCCGCGCTGGGCCGGGGGGGGGGGGTGTTTGAACACCTCTCTGCGGTTTTCCGCAGATATCTCAAAAGGTCATGACCTGAGGTCAACTCTGAGGATATGTTGGCCTAAGAGCGTTTAAAGAGCTATATCCAATGCGCTTTTTCGCGGCGCTGTAGCTCTATCGGTTCCCGCTCCGAGTTAGACGTTGGCAGTTTCCAAAATGTTGAAATAAGCAACATTTTTCTTTTGGTGACCTCTGGTGACCTGACCTTTGACCTGACCCAAAAAAAATGAAAAGGTCCTTGAGTTGTGAAGGTGCGCACTGCGCATGTTTCGGACTTGTACCTCACCTCGGGACTTGACCTTTTGGGCTAGGGGGTCAAAAGTCGCACACAAGACGTGCTATTTAATTGTGCGCATGCATGCCAGGTTCGCCATGGGATGCATGCCGCCGTTTTCAAGATATTCGCGGAAGTCAAGTAGGTGGGGAGGCAGATTCCGCCGCCCCTCCGGTGTTGCTCCGGTGCGCCTTATCACCATTGTAACCGTCATGCTGAAAAAAACGAGCCTGATGTCATATGAGAAAAGCATGATTTCGTTTAAGAAAAGTGTTAAATGTACCACGAACACGATATTTTCCGCTTAAATCGCATTTAGAAAAGTGCCACCCAGCATCGCCGACTGTGGCGGTCGGGAACTTCTGACCACTTCCAGGTGGCGCTAGTGAGCCTCCATGCGGGAACGACTCGGCGCTGGTGGCGCCGCGCGAGTGGGCCGTCTAGGTACTAATAGAGGTCAATGCAAGAAGCTTTGAAGCGATTGTGGCGCGCCGCGCCATTATTGTCCTGAGGCCCCCATATGATGTCATCAAAAGTGGAGTGACATGGGCCTGGCCTAGTGCGTAGGTAGGTGCCCGCCAAGGCTATATAAACCAGGTAGAACGCTCCGGGAAAAAAGTTGGAAACAATAAATTAGTTGCGGCATTCCCTGATGACGCGAATGTGGGTCAGCGGCCGGCGGCCGGCCGCCGCTAACACTGTATGAGGAGGGATGCGCGGAACTTTTGCTTGTTGGTGATTGCGCTAGGCAGTTAAATGGTAATGTTAGGATATGTTTCGAAAGTAAATTGAACGACGCTTCGAATGCCGTCAATGAATTTGCGATCCGACGACTATTTGTTTAGTTAGAGCCGGCGAACTTTTACCTTCTGACCGCGCGCGGAGGCGATATAGTGCCACACTGGCGGTTTTTACGATAGCTCAAAATTCTTTTGAGATAAAGAGATGAAATTTGACATGTCCTATCTTTTGATCAAGCTGGATCTTATGGTACAAGTCGCATATTAAAGGTAGGTCAGGTTGTTGACCTATGTTGTCGCTCGTGAGCCTCTGCTTAGTCCAAAAACAACGCAATTTCTGAACACTCAGTGCCAAGAAATCCTTCACAGAAAGATGGCACTTGGCAGAAAGAAGAGTTGTCGGTTTCTTACCGTTCGTATGTGTCGTGTTTTCACAAGAGTTTAGTAAGGTCAGGTCCGTCACGTGACCTCCCCTCATAACTCAATAGGTTTACTATCATAGAAGCGTTTATCAATCGCCGGAAATCTTAGCCAATCCCACTGGACACTGGATCCATACCCACATGGGGCCCTCCTGACTGGCCACTCCCTCTGAAATCCACAATAACATTGGGCTGCGGCCACGGTTATGTATTAATGCTTTTCACTAACAGAAATACAACTTCAACCAGCACAGTGCACGCCGCCACAACAGTCTGACCCACGTCCCTGATATCGACTAGCTCCCGGCCGGATGCACATACGCGGAGCCAATCAGTCCGAATGTGACCTGCAGCTTACAATTGCTGTGTCGCATGGCGCATGGCACAGGACGATTCCTAGCAGCTGTCGGCTGGAGTGGAGAAACAGCACGTTGCGACACACCGCGCCGGCGACAGAGCTCAGCAGGGCTGGTTGGAGGCTGGAGCCGGAGGTAAGGGCGGACACAGGCACAGACATTGCAGGACAAATAACAGGATGTCAGTTAGGGATATAACTCAAGACGAATGGTTCAAGACGGACTGAAATAATACACATTTTGCTCACTTGGATACCAACTTCAAACTTGACGTTTATGTATAGCACCATGGAAACAATGGGCACACAGGAAAGAAACAAAAGATGAGGGTTTTTTAACTCAAGGAAGTAAAACAGCCCGAAGTGCAGACAAGCACATACTTTTGGTAATAGCTATCAGCTGTCCTACTCCTCTTCTCCCTTCATCAACTACTGGACACATTTGAAGCATCATATATAGCACCAATGTCCATAACCAAAGCTTGCAAGTAGTTTTAACTTCTATGAAGCCAAGGGAAATGTGCCTACATCATGCATGTAAACTCAAAATTACACATGCATGACAAAGGAAGCTTATGTAAAGAAAATAGTTGACAAAAGCATCTCATGGTTAAAATTATTCAAAACTGCACACAGGGCAAACATAAAAAGCAGCAAGTGTACTGTTCTGTTATGCTTAGAAATAATCCAAAACAAAATACAATCTTTTCATGTTTGAACTGGTTTTTCTTCTATGCCCCTTCATCCATATATCTTGACTACAGATGGGCTGTTACTGTAGGCTGATGAAGTGACACTTGATTGCCTTTGTGCGAGTTTCAGTTGCAGCCTCCTTGGTACTGCACTGGAAAGCAGATTGAATTGAATGCCTCTGAAAGATAGGAATACAGGCAGGGTTAGCTGTAGTAGTGTCAATGATAATAGACATGACATTTTTGTCCTTTGACATACATTTGTTGAAGTACAAAAAGGTACAAAATAAATTGGTTTGTTTCAAGACACGCACACTGCACAAAGCCGCACAGGCATTACACAGGCATATGAAATTGGTACACATAAAATTTGATGATTAAAAAGGTCAAAACTTGCAATAAAAATTGAAGTAAAAGCTACAATTACAATCATTTGATTTAAAATGACTTGACATAAGTCACAAGATGCAATTCTGTTATGCTTTCATTATCCTCTACATATCAACCAGCTTGATACCAGGCTGTGCAATAGTGTGTACATAACCCCATGTTGCCATTTTATTAGAGCAAGTGGGGTTACAACAACAATGCTAATGTCAAACCCACATCTGCAACCCGTACTGCAGTTTCAATTACCTTACAATCACACCTTCTGGCAGTTTGATAGGCAGAATGGTCATTACTACTTTCCCCTCATATTCAACACATATTCCCTTTATACAGATACAGTTTAGACCTGGTTATGGCAAGCACTTTCGAGAAAAGACATGATTAAAGTCCAAGACAAAGGTCGAGAGAAACAACACCAACATAAAACACCGACTATGTAGCACTAATACTGTCAAATTCATAAAAATATATACATGAGTCGATCAGAAATTCACTGTATATTTCGAAAATGGTATCAAATGCCACTCAAATACCCCCATTCGCATGCACGAAGCAATAAAACACTGACCTTCAATTCCGCGTGCCATTCTCCATAGGCCACTGTGTATTAAATAACGCGTTCACTGATAGCAAAAAATGAGACCCACATATGACGCGTTTGCTACCAGCCAATCAGCGCTCGAGTTACCGAGCGCTGATTGGTGGAGAGGGCCGTCGTCAGCAGCTAATTACACGTTGTTTTCCTTGAACATGTGCGTGAGCGCTGATGCTGCTCACGGGCTGTTGCCATTTTTCGTAATGCTGAAGGCACGGGAGCGAACCCCCCTGGTGCCCGCCTAGCAGATTATTAGTGAATCGTGTATTTTTATATACCTACATTGCATATTACAATTATTTGACTGAGGGTGTGTTTCTGCAAGCTACAAGCTACTGATGACTGTTTTGCCATGCTACTAAGTACTAACCCACGGGTTCCCACCTCACCTGTTTGCAGAAAAGGATCCAGAGAAAAAGACATGTCACAAGACAGAGGAGATGATGTTATGAGTCCACCTCAGCTGAATATTCTACTTGAGCGTGATCCATATCTGAAACCCTTTGAAAAGGAAATAAGGAGGAGGTGAGCATACGATATTGGCTGATGTATGGTTATTTGCATAGGCGGCGGAATGGGGAGGGCACCAGGGCATTGGCCCCCCTTTGATTTTGGCATTTTAACATTAGCCCTATGGGCGTTGCATGGAAAGAATGGGACCAAAAGTTGGCAGTGCCCCCTTAGTTGAAGGTGTTCCGCCACTACTGGTTATTTGCATGCAACATGACCACCCGTGCTAATGTAACTAAGTGTGTTAGGTGCGCTGTTTGACAGGCATGGCTGTGAGGCCAGTCTGACAAATCACTGACACATTTATTGGCAGATATGGTGAGTTCACCAAGCTCCTGCACAGCATCAATGAACATGAGGGTGGCCTGGACCACTTCAGTCGTGGCTACGAGCGGTTTGGCTTGCATGTGCAGCCAGACGGCTCCATCAGCTGCCTTGAGTGGTGTCCAGCTGCCGAGGCTCTTTACCTGAAGGGCGAGTTCAACAACTGGCAGCTGGCTGAGTTCCAGCGGCAGCCGTTCGGCAAGTGGCAGCTGATTCTGCCAGGGCGCGCCGGCCAGCCACCCATCTCCCACCTGTCACAGGTCAAGGTAGGTGTTGGGGTCACTGCTGGAAGGTTGGTGTAGCACTGGGCCTGATGCCGGCACTGCTCTGAAGCAGCCTACATTGCTGCTGGGACTGTTATATCTCTTCTTACAAATCAAATAATAGTGAGGTTTTATGAATATGCTCATTTTTCATTTATTTGCAAAAATCGCGACCCAATTCAATTTCGTTGTTATTTCTCTTCAGGCGGCGTAGATTGATCGAAAGGCTTGTTGATTGGCGTTGCCTCCTCGGAACTACCAATATGCTTGTTGATATCCTAGTTCGGTATCCGGTGTCATTCCCGCACCGATAACCGGTGTCCGTCGGTCTGTGCCCGCTGGCGGCTTGCCATGTGTTCGTGTCATTGTCCGGGTCATTTATCGTGTGTGTCCAGGTCCGGCTGAAGATATGTGTCCGTGTCTTTGAGTCATAACCGTGTCCGGTGAATTATCCGTCCCCGGGCCTCTGACGGTCCGGTTCAGTGTCGTGATCTCTGACGCTCCTCGTTTCGTCGTCGCCGCCAGCTGGTAGTGAAGACCAAGGACGGTCAGTTCGTGGACCGTCTCTCCCCGTGGGCCACCTACGTCAAGCCGCCGCCCACCAAGGACCAGGGCATCGCCTACAACCAGCACTTCTGGAACCCGCCGGCCAGCGAGCGGTACCAGTTCAAGCACTGCCGGCCGCGCCGCCCGGCCAGCCTCCGCATCTACGAGTGCCACGTGGGCATCGCCACGCCCGAGGGCCGGGTCGGACAGTACGGCGAGTTTGCCCGCGACGTGCTGCCGCGCATCGCCAAGCTCGGCTACAACGCCATCCAGCTGATGGCCATCATGGAGCACGTCTACTACGCCAGCTTCGGCTACCAGGTCACCAGCTTCTTCGCCGCATCCAGGTGGGTGGGCTGGATGGGGAGGTCTGTAGGACACATGACTGAGGAGGAATTATGGCCAGAGCGGCAGCACTAAGCGCACTAGGCTGCAAATGGCTTAACTGAACACATGTGTGGCCAGATGGGACCAGATACACGTCCAGACGGATCACTATCCCGGATTGACATGATAGTGGAGTACGCCAGCCGCACGTACTTAGGTTCTGATCAGATAGACGTACGCAAAGTGGACGTAAAGTGGGAAGGAAGTTGCTCGGACGCACTGATACCTGGGCCCTGTTTCACCGGTGATAGCAGCACGCTGCTATTCCATTTCGCGAGCTGACGTCACACTTCTGGTAGTTTTGGAGGAATAGACTTCTTGACGTCTCCATGGAAACGCAATTTGACACGTGTAATAGCAGCGTGCTGCTATCGCCAGTGAAACAGTGCCCTGCCCTGACCAGCTGAGCGTAGGCCGTAGGGTTGAGACTTGAGAGGGCCGCCGGTAGCAATTGCCACCGATCGGATGGGTTACTCAGCGCCACTTTAACTCCGCCCGACTGCCACCGGCCCGTAATACGGTCACTGGCCGCCGAAAGGGACTATATATTTTTAGCCACTAGTCTGCAGTGAATGCTGGAGTGCTGGAAAGGTTGCTGGCTACCGAAGGGCACAGACCTCATCAGGGCGCCTGAGGTGTGGCCGGTTCTGCCTTCTCTAGTTTCCCGGCTGGATGGATGAGCCCAGCTCACTCTGTGATGTGGGCGTCAGTTTCCGAAATTTATTGGTAGAGTACGGGCCTTCCAGGTCTATATAAAACAACATCCCTGTTCTGTAATAGTGTTCTCAGACACCCTCGAGTCGTCGCCGCCGAACTCACTGTTCCTATCCATCAATAGGTCGGTGGAGCGAGCCAATGGATGATGTTGAGTCAGTACTGCCATAGATTCATTAATTCCCCACTGACCTCTGCGCCTGAATATAAACACGCCGATGAGCCAGCACTTCAAACGCCCCTGGCCGTTTCCATAGGCCGGGGATAAACAGTAAGGAGGCCGGTCGGTGGGCGGCACCCGGGTCGGAGTCTCTCGGAGAATGGCGCGACTTTTGGCACCCTGGCCTTCCTCGGTACCGCTGTACAAACATTATTGAGTACCACACTGTACTTTCTATAGCGTAATACGCTAGTACAGTAACGTTGTATCATTGTCCATGATACCGTGTTTCACACGGCCCACCCTTTGACATCATTGCTCACACGGCTGATCCCTCGTTACCATGGCGATTTGTTGGCACCATGCGGGGCACGCCGGCGTCGCGTGCGGTGGCCGCCGTCACGCAGTGGGCGGCTGATTTCGACCGCCACGTGGTGCGCCCGGTCCGGCCTCCGATGCGCCCGTAATGTAAACATTCCAACGGCTTGGAAAAAGAGCCGGTAGGTGCTCCCAGGTAGCGTTACGTCAGCGTGACTCGTACCCGAGATGTTTAGTGACGGGGTATGATGGTATTTCTATTAAACAGCCAGGATTAGAACATCGTAGTTCGTACGGCTGATGCAACCACCTGCTATTTTCGTTAATACTTGGGAAAACGAGTGGAGCCAAATCGGATTTACTTCCTCTACATGTTTTTTACACCCATTTGGTGGAAATGTCGTGTAATCGAATCTCAGGGTCCATGCAAAACATAGATTGGAGACGTCGATTTGCGTTTATGTAAAAGAAGTGCAAGCATTGATACTGCTCCGTCGTAGATTTATACATCGGGTTTAGTTCGTCTTACGTGGGGTCTTCCACAGCCGTAACGAGCTCTGAGCGGACATTGGTTCCCTTTCTCGGCCAAAACGATATAGCTGTATTTCAGCACCTCTATTTTGCTTAACAAGACACTAGTGAGCTGTAACCGCTACCTCTCCCCCATTTTCAGCCGGTACGGCACTCCCGAGGAGCTGAAGCAGCTGATTGACGCGGCTCACGCGCTGGGCATCTACGTTCTCCTCGACGTGGTGCACTCTCACGCCTCCAAGAACGTGTTGGATGGCCTGAACGAGTTCGACGGCACGGACAGCTGCTACTTCCACGGCGGCGCGCGCGGCGTGCACTCGCTCTGGGACTCGCGTCTGTTCAACTACAGTAGCTGGGAGGTGCTGCGCTTCCTGCTCTCCAACCTGCGCTGGTACATGGAGGAGTACCAGTTCGACGGCTTCCGCTTCGACGGCGTCACCTCCATGCTCTACCACAGCCGCGGCATCGCGCAGGGTGAGAGAGGGATGGGCAGTCGTGGTGGGAGTGGCGGTTGAATGGCTGTGTGGTCGGCAATCTGACCGAAACAGGGCGAAACGTAAACGCGGTGGGTTGTGGGGCCTGCGTGGGGTACTTACAAGCTACTTGTAGCACTATTTTTCATAGAGCCTAGACGGTGTGCATTTGTAGTACCGCTGTGTTGCCACGTATCGGTAAACTACTACGACACTGTATTTTCGAGCCGCTCTGCGGGAGCCACTCGTTCTAACTGGTCTAACCCGTCGTCGTCGTTCTGTCTCCAGGCTTCAGTGGCGACTACAGCGAGTACTTTGGCCTGGGCACTGACACCGAGTCGCTGGTGTACCTGATGCTGGCCAATCACATGACGCACACACTGTACCCGGAGTCCACCACCGTCGCTGAGGTACGTAGGTCCTGACCGCCCACATCCGGGCTAGAGAGTATGTTCTCCGTCAGCGCCCATATGGAAACGATCGGTTTTCCGTTCAGTTACCGTTCAGTCGAATGGCGTCGTGCTGGTACCGACCTGTGGGATTATGCATTCAACACGTCGCTACGGTGTCATGTACGTTACCGACCTGTCTTTAGCTCCTTGTAACTAGTTTGTCTCTGTTTCCTGTAACCAATCTGTCTCTCTGATTCTCCATAACTAATCCTTATCCGTCTACTCCCTGCACACAGGATGTGTCGGGCATGCCGGCGCTCTGCTGTCCAGTCGAGATGGGCGGCACCGGTTTCGACTACCGGCTGGGCATGGCCATCCCGGACAAGTGGATCGAGATGCTGAAGGAGTACTCGGACGAAAATTGGAACATCGGCAATCTCGTGCACACGCTCACCAACCGGCGCTGGTTGGAGAAGACGATCGCCTACGCCGAGTCGCACGACCAGGTGGGAGCTCGCAGCGGGAATGGGGGACATATCGAGTCGGAGGTATCCATTCTACAGGGGCTGGCTCATCGTTACAATACCTGTGCAATGTGTATTGGGGAGCGGGGGAGGGGGGGGGGGTTAAGTGTGAACGTCTTTTCATTTATTTGACTTGTAGGACATGACTCGTATTGGCGATGTATGACTCATAAGTAGGCGATTCTCGCCTCAAATGCCTAGGACTAGCTGTCATTGATCGGTTATCTACGTCGTTGACCGCCCGAACGTTCCCACTGCGCCACAGGCTCTGGTCGGCGACAAGACGATAGCGTTCTGGCTGATGGACAAGGAGATGTACACGCACATGTCGACGCTGAGCCCTCCCAGCCTGGTGATCGATCGCGGGATCCAGCTGCACAAGATGATCCGGCTGCTGACGCACTCGCTGGGCGGAGAGGCCTACCTCAACTTCAGCGGTCAGTGGGTTTCCATGGCCGCCGTAGTAATGTTCGTCTGGTTATCAGTGCTGTTTCGTGACCACCATCCCTGTACTGTGGCCAGTTGGTCGACTGGTCAGCCTCTTGCCACTGGTTCTCAATGGCATCGTGGTATCATAAGCAGGCTTTTGTCTTTACATGACTGTTTATTTTACAGTCTCAGTCTCGTCGGGTACTTTACAGATTATAGATAAGTCAACTAATTTAACCCCTGTACCTCCCATGTCGTAGGTAAAAGAGCAGGGAACAGAGCTCGCCGGTCTGTTTAACCCCCCCCCCCCCGGTAGTCTCATAACAAGCTTACTTGGCGTGACTCTCCTACCCTCACCTCCCTCTTCAACAGGCAACGAGTTCGGTCACCCAGAGTGGCTCGACTTCCCCCGGATCGGCAACAACGACTCGTATCACTACGCGCGGCGGCAGTACAACCTGGTGGACGACCAGCTGCTGCGCTACCGCATGCTCAACGACTTTGACGCGGCCATGAACCACCTGGAGGAGAAGTACGGCTGGCTCCACTCCGATCCGGTGAGCGGGCGACGGCGGGATAGCGGGAGACTCAAACACTGTCGGGTCTCAAAGGCTCAACCTGTCGGGCTTGATTAATATGGGCTATACTCGAAACTTTATACTATTTTTCATGTGTATAGTTCGGCAATACATTATTTATTATGAGACCGAAGTTCCTTATATCTATGATCTAATCAACATTGTTGATGGACCAATGAAGATTGGTGATGAATCAATAACACCGCTGTGCTGACTGGATCCGAACTTACTAGTGATGTCAATTTCAGAAAACATATGTCCAATGTCCGTCCAATGTCCAATACTTACGTCGACTGTCCGTCCAAAAATGTCCAAGCCAGCCATTTGTCCAAAGATGTCCGACATCTACGCAGTAGTTTACACTCAACACCGTTATTTAATTTGGTTTTAATGTATCTTTACCAGCTCAAAAGTGGTATTCATGTCGAAAGCTGAGCTTTCTAATAGCCAATCAATGTTAAACACGATTACTTTATGAAAATGTTGAGATGTAGCAAGCGATTGTCCAAAGTTGTCCAAAGCCTGCTGTCATTGTCCAACCGAATTCCGAATTGGACATTGGACAAAATCGGAATTCCGAAGATTCAAGTTCCGATTGACACCACTAGAACTTACCCTGCCCGTGTCTGACCTCTTCCTGTCCCCACAGCCCTAACCTGGTCCCCTGTCCTCTGTCCTTCCCGTCCTCACAGCCCTAACCTGGTCCCCATATCCTCTCTCCTTCCCGTCCTCACAGCCGGCCTAACCTGGTCCCCATATCCTCTCTCCTTCCCGTCCGTGTCCGCAGTTCTCCACGGGTCGTGTGACGGACCCAACCGACCTCCACTGGCCCGTCTACGCCCAGGTGAGCCCGCCGGTCTCCGCGGCGGCGCCAGGTGCATTACATCCTCACCGACTGTTACCCGGTGTAGCCAGGCATCAATATGGCCCGCGTACGAGTAGCTGAAGCTCATCCCTGCTGGTGCCTGAATATCCTGAAAAGTTGAATATTCGTCCTCGTTTATCCCACTTTCATTTTGCCTGCAGATATTACCAGGCATGTTATCCTTTTTCGACGCTTTGGTCGTCTTCGGATCAGATAGCTCAACCAACTAAATGCCATGGTTGCAGAGGATAACTCCACTGTCCAGCAGACGTCGTGTCCTAGTCATTGTCTGACATCTTTCCCTGTCCAGGCATTCTTTAATATCCGTACACCAGCCCTCTCTGCTTACATCAATCCCTCCGTTTCCTTACGCCTATATCACCACCACTGACATCCACCGCGTGTTTTGGTAGGCGTACGTCAGCTGCAAACACGAGGATGACAAGGTGATCGTGCACGACCGTGCCGGCCTCGTGTTCGCCTTCAACTTCCACGCGAGCAAGTCCTTCACTGGATACAAGGTGGGTGCTGAGCCGCGGGCGGATTTGGTCAGTCGGGGCTGGAACGCCGTGACACGTGTGAAACGGTACTGACTGAACTTCGTGTATTGGAGTGTAGGAGACTGGAATCAGGTAAAGGAAATATTGTGCACAATATGAAGGCCGCTGGAATACGTCCAAACGATGCAGACTGGCCGGCTGCGTGCAGTGGGGCGGTGTGGTCTGTCTAAAACGGTACATGCTGAGCACTCTGAGCAGTATAGGATCCATCCGCTATGCCATGCGCTTTGTTTCCTGCTATGAGTGGCCAGTGGGGACCGGTTGGTCTGACGCTCCCCCCCCCCTCTCCACAGGTTGATGTGAACCAATCTGCCCCCCCCCCTCTCCCTCCCCCAGGTTGGTGTGGACTAGTCTGACTGCCCCTCCCCCCCCCCCCTCCCTCCTTACAGGTGGGAGTGGACCAGCCCGGCTGCTACCGCGTCGTGCTCGACACGGACCGGGAAGAGTTTGGCGGACACAACCGGGTCGACCCCGAGACCAAGTACCACACCATGAACGAAGGATTCAACGGACGCCGCTACTCGATGCTTGTAAGTACCACCCGGGATTAGGGGCGATCGTTCACGGGACAGGCTGGCGAGTGAAGGGTGACCGGTGTTTTTGACGTGATGTTTTTACGCTTTTACGTTTTTACCGATGTTTTTTTACGCGGTCTGGCTAATCGCTCACAGTATTTTAGCTGATGAGGGGCCCAGCGCTGTGAGCAAGGGACAATGAGGAGAGGAGAAGCTCCAGTGGGGCCTGCTGACCACGGTACAGGTCGTCTGAGATGAAAATAATGACTAAAAACAAACTAATGCTAGCTCAAGAATTACGTTAAAACTGCATTGCACGTAGTTTTTTAACTTTAAGTTGGATAGTGTATCACCCTGTCTGCCCGATGTCCCTTTTCCTGGTTTCATTGTCAATTATCGCAAATTATGTGCACATTATGTGCAACATAATTATATATATATATATATATATATATATATATATATATATATATATATATATATATATATATATATATATATATATATATATATATATATATATATATATATATATATATATATATATATATATATATATATATATATATATATATGTTGCGGGCCAAGTGCGAAGGCTAGTCCATTCGCGAATTCGCGTTTGCGAATGGACTAGTCCATGTGCGTTATTGCAGTTGGCCTAGGCCGTTTGCGAATGGACGGGCGTTTATGCTCCCAGTCCAAGTGCGAAGTCAGGCCAAGTGCGAAATATCCAGCAAAGTGACGTCAACTTGGCAAGTCAACTTGGCATGTGCAAAGTCCCGTGTGAAATGATGCGTGCAAAGTATTGGTAACTCAACCGGAAAATGCTTACACAGTCATGCTGAGGTCGCCTCTTCTTTACCTCACCCCACCCTTGCGTTCACCCCTTGGAAACATTGTCTGACGATGAATTTCATGAGCCTTGCAATGTAATGGTGAAGTGAAACAAACTCAACTCAAGAACACACCGATCCAGTGCGACTTATTTATTATTGCAGGCCACCCCTTTATGACATCTACTGATGCATGTCACTCCGCATGGTCTCCGCACACCACGCGACTCTCCGCTGTTCGAAGGTCACGGGGATATTTGACCTCCCCAGATCCAGATCGGTGGCCGAAGCCTGGCCAGCGGCAACACGTTGCTATAATTTCCGCGTTGTGCAGGGTTCAGCGGAAAGTCGCATCCCGAATGGACTAGGTGTGTGGAGACCTTAACCCAGAGTTGCGCCAGCTCGCAGATCTGCTCCGGAGAACAAACTAAACATATAGACGCAGTGGCGTCGCCACGGATTTTCGACTAGGGGATCTGGTCGGACGGTCAGTCAAAGTAATCCCCACCAAATACTGAAAACTCCTGGGATTTAGACAATTTTATTTTGGGAATGCACCAAAATCGTTTTTAAAATATTTTATTTTATTCTTGATCGATTTTCGTGGCCAAAAGCGTGTGTGTGTGTGGGGGGGGGGGCGTCGGACCGGCATATTTTCAAGAATGTGTGTGTGTGTGGGGGGGGGTCCGGACCCCTCCGACCCCCCCCCCCCCCCCGTCGGCGACGCCCCTGCATCGACCAGCGGTGGCCCATTCATTCGGAATCGTACCCCAATCCGAGGATCCATGCTTCCGGCGTCTAAGTGCAACGCCACAAACCCGTCCGTTCGCAAACGGCCTAGGCCATTCGCGAATGGCCGGCCATTCGCAAACGGACTAGTCCGTTTGCAAACGGACCGCCATTCGCAAACGGCCTAGTCCATTCGCGAATGGACTAGTTCGTTCGCAAACGGACTAGCCTTCGCACTTGGCCCGTTTACATATATATTATGTGCAAATTATCGCTTGTCTGACCGATACCCCTCCCGCAGGTATACCTGCCGAGCCGGGCGGCGCTGGTGTACGCCCGCTGTGACTGAGACTGCCCGACCCCTGTCCGCCGGAGGCGGCGCCAGTAGAACGGTGTGCAATACGAGCGCCCTGCCCGCCACGAGCTGTGTGAATGTGCCTGGCCGGCCGGCCGGGCGGCGACCCGGGCCGGCACAGCCGACCGACTGTGAACGAGCTATGCTGGCCATCAAATGGCTGTGGAGCGGCGCACGCGTCAGTAGAGGCTATTGCTGTTTTATATTTTGTATGCCTATTGGTTTCAGATCTGAAAATGTTGTTAACACGTTATGATTTAGAAGTTTTTGGTTATGTAGATTTTTAACTGTCTTCTCAGGACGTGTTGCTGATACTCTGCCTGCTTAGGGAGCCATATATACGAATAAATTGCTGGGCAATTATTACGAGTTTGTTCAAACGAGATTATATGGGCATAATAGCGTTTATTAGAGGGATGTCCGACGGGGCATGATGCGACTTACGAGTGATCAGTTTGATTGGTTCTGAATTCCTTCGATTGGCACGGAATGTCTTTGATAGGGTCGGGATCCGACCGCTCGCTACAAGCGTTTTTCCTCTGTGACGTGTTTCCTTATCGCTCTTCAACTCAAGTTGCCGGCTTAGTTTGTTCTATTTATGGTTTAGCCATCAGGGCACCGAATCGATGACTGATTCAGTTTGCATCTATCCTTGCACCTATCCTGAGAAGTTGGTGCACCTGATGTTGATCGGTTATTTCGGGAATCGGTTGTTCACTGCTTGCGGGGCTTTGGGATGGATTCTGCCGTCGCTCACAACGGGTTACACTGCTCCAAAAGGGTCACAGAGCGCACTTCCCTCACAACACTTCCTCCTTCCCTACCCGAATCCCTTGGTCGCGGCTACCGAAACCTGAGAGTGGAGTTTTGGGTTGTCTGTGTGGATCCGGCGAGTAAAGTTTGTGACTTGTGACTTTTTAGTTGAAGCTCTGACGGCGTGTAGTTTTTTTAGCCGAACAATCAACGAATGAACTATCGTAGTTTGTGAGCTGAATTACTGCCGTGGCTTATAGTTTTAGTATGAGTGAAGACAGAGTGGGTCTGTGTATTTTCAAGTACTGCCGGTCGGCGTCCGCTGCGATAGAGGACGGCGTCGTCGCTCGATCGGAAGGTACTGTCTGTCATGACGAGCTCTGATAGGCGTCCGACACAATGGTAGCTCATAGAACTGCTATCGGCGGCGGCCCCGCCCGTGCCGGCTCCTCTCCGATAGGGAGGCCGCTGCTGTGATAGCGACACACGGCGGCGCCGGACGACACACAGTGTCTGTCGAGTGGCCGTCACTGCTGACGGCTGGCCTCAGCGGTCGGCGAGTCCCAGAGGAAGGCTCGGATAGTGTGTGCTGTGGTGACTGAGTTGTGAATGTTGCCGGAGTGGTTGAAAGTGTGGAGTGTTTGGTAGTCGGACGGAGTGTGATTTTATCGGTGGATGTGGAACAGAACGTGCAGTAAACAGAATGGCTTTATAGGGGAGTGTAAAACAGAAGTGGTGCCTTGTCTGCCGGCAAAGGCTCCTGCGCTGGTGGGTGGCTTGATTGATCTCAGCGCGGAGGAGCGTGTTTCGGCCTGGGACGGACTGGTCTGAGACTGGTGCCCGGACCGTCAGTAATGGAGCGCCCGGCAGGACCACGGCCCGCCGGTACGGCCCGCGTGCAGGCCGTGCCGCGCGGGGCGGACTCACCGTGCGGTCTGCCGTTCAGTGGACTGAGTCTGGCCTCGGCGGGTCGGCCGGGCCACCAGCCGGCCACCCTGCCCGTCACTGAGCCGCTGCGGCCGCCGGCGCCGGGCTGGGCCCCGCCGCCGCCGCCGGACCACCACCGCGGCGTGGTGCGCTTCGTGTCCTCCCTGGACAAGCTGCAGCCGAGCGGGCGGGCCGCGCTGGCCGCGCCGCTGCCCCGTCATGTGTCGTTCCCCTCGTACCCGGAGCCGGTGGCCGAGCTCTCACGCCCGGATGGACACGTGCTGACGTCGCCGCAGCCGTACGAGCCTCCCCGGCCGCCAGGCGGCGGCGCCGTGCCGCAGCTGCGCGTCACAGAGGACGCTGGCATCGCGCCGAGGCGGCTTTCCTCTGGACCCTCCTACCAGCAGCCGACCTTCTCCTCGCTGCAGAAGATTCGAAATCCAACCGAACAGCAGCTGGAGACCGCCGACTGGTTGTTGCACAGGCGAGGGTCCGGGCTGACCGACTCGAGTCGGCGTAACTCGGCCATCGGAGACTCGAGTCGACGCAGCTCCGCCATGGGAGACTCGAGTCGACGCGGTTCAACTATGGGTGACTCGAGTCGGCGCAGCTCCGGACTTGACTCGAGTCGCCGTGGCTCTGCTATGGACTGGAGCCGACGTGAGACGGGCGGCCGCGGCGTCGGTCTGCTGTCGAGCCAGCGGAGCACCGTCGAGCCCGCCGTGGACGTCACCAACTGTTACGCCAGCGGCCGGAGGCCCAGCCGTCCCGGCCTGCGGGCCAAGGTAGCGCGCAGCGACTTCGGCTCGGCCGACCAGCGAGCGGCTGCCGAGGGAAGGACAGCGGCGCCAGCCGCTCCCAGCTCCGGCACGGACGGTGAGTGACAGCCTGACAGGCCGCACACAGCCACATTGGGATTGACCTTGGCCTTGGCCCTGATACTACCGACTACCGAGCACCGACAGCACCTCCACGGCCCGGCCTGGTCTCGAGGAGCCCTTACCACTCCATACGTGTCCCTGGGCAGCTACCCGATTCTCTCACTTCATCATGTTACGGCGAATGACATCAGCCGTCTTATAAAGAGAACGAAAGGACGAGGGGGTCGGGCGAGCAGGCTTAGCACAAGGCTCAGACAACTGTATATCTTACCTATTTGAGGCTCGTGGGCATGGCGAAAGACCAAAACGACGCTGTAAAAAAACTTATTGAACGAAATATGTTTCAATAGACGAAACTTCCGTCAAAAGCACATTAGCTATCAGATTTGCGCCTTCCTCCCCTGACGTTGAATTATTAAAAAGTACGGTCCGAGATAGCGGGAAGTCGAATTTCCCGGCTATCGAGGTTATAGGCACGATGCTTTCTGATCTAACAGAGGATGTCACACCTCGTGAGCTACAAAGGCTGAAAGAATGACAACAGGTCTACGTAGCCAGTTATTTACACATATTACGTTTGGCGGTTCCAGGCTTTGGATCCGCTGTCCGGCTATTCCGTTCATTTTGGAACTTTAGTATAGGATGGTGGTGACGGTATCGAGAAGTTACAGAGGAGAGGAGAGCAAGAAATAACTACGCAGTACTTACTATGATCACCGGCGGCCGTTAATGGCAGCCACATGCTAGCCTAGCAGGACATAGCTGTCCACTAGCCGTTGAATTAAGTTGCGCTCCCTGCCGCACGCCAATGAGCTTAGTGGCGCAGACATTCCCTGTAAGCGGTAATATCCGGTCGTATGTGAAACATCAGCCCGCTGCCTCCGGAAGCTGACTGTCCCTCTGAAGCCGTGTGCGCCGTGTGGAGGCGCTCTCTCGGTCTCCGCGCCCCTGAGTCACGGGCGCGGCACTCGGCGGAGCTGACCGTCACGCACGCACCGTGACGGCTCGTTTCCGACGCGACGGCGAGGAGCGGCGCGCCTCTGCGCCATCTGAGCGCGGCGCCACTGACTCAAAAACACAACACTCCGAGCGCAGCCGCTGTCTCTGAAAACGGCAGTCCGTGGATCTGATTCAGGTCCTATTCAGGAGGACGCAGATGTGACGGCGTCCTAGTGGTTACGAACACGTCTTGTGAATCACAGTGGCAGCCGCAGCGTGTCGCAGTGGTTCCGATGTTACCAATGGTATTCAACTTCGGCCACAGTTTCCTGTTCGTTTAGTCGCCGATTCGACCGGTAACAGCCCCACAATCTCGTGCCATTTGTGGACATTCATGTTGCTTTTTACGATTTGCCTAATTTCGGAAAACGTTTGCTTCTTCCGCATGACTCGCGATGTGATCTGAACTTGCTTGGTGGGTGCGCGAGTTATATAGCTACCTACCAAATTATACACTTCAAGAACTTTCAAAGAGGCCTTTCAAAAAATTTCAGAGGCCTTTCAAAAAAAAAACTTTCAAAAAGGCCTCGCAACGCTCGATAAATCCAGTTTTCTTGTACCTATCGGACGAAGTTTAAAAAAAAAAAACACTTCCAATTAACCACCGTTTCACTGGTTTGTGGAAATTATCATATTTACTATAATCGTAGAGTCTAACTTTGTACTTGCATGCAAACTATTCAGCATTCATAAATAGTTGAACGAAAAGGTCCTCATTATAAAAGACTATCAATATCTCAAGTGGTTTATCCGTGGCACGAAGTTGTCGAGCTGCTCGATGCTCGTTGCCACGTTGGTGTCGCACCAGGCCGACAGCAGCCGGCCCGTCGGCCATTTGTTCACGGCGCCGGGACGCCGACGGCTGTGGTGACAACTTATACGGCCTTGGTGGTGACGCCGTTGGCAGTGACTGGCGCCGATCGCCGTACATCTGTGTATGTATGTATATCTGAGCCGCGGCGAGCCGATCGGGCGATGATCTCAACCACCAGCTCCGGTTGCAGGCTGCACACAAATGAATGGAAAAAAGCTGCAGGCCGGCCGCCGGCCGACAGGTGGTTTGAATGAGCGGCGCACTCTGCAGCGCACCGCCGACGGGCAACACAAACAATGGCTGGGGTGTAATGAGGCGGCGGCGGCGCGGCGGCCGTGCGCCGACCACGTGTCGTCCCCCGCCGAGATCGACGCAGGAGAGACACCGGAGCGCGCCGCGCGCCGCCGCCCACCGCCCCCCGGCTGTTTGTTTTTACCCTCAGTTGTCAGTAAATGATAGCCGCGATGCTTGTGCCGTCAGGGTTCATGACACTCATGTCCCCATTCATTTCGGTGGCGTTTTTTCAGCGGCGGAATTAAGGCGCGCGATGCACGTGCCCACTGGCGACGATAAACAGTGACCTCCGCCAGAGTCGGTCATGGTGGTTCACGGTGCTGCAATGCAAGCGCCCACCTCTGCCCCAAGCTCTAGTTCGCGCTACAATATGGGTTTTCCTCAACAAGACGTATCTGCAGCGCAATTTTTTATGCTCCTCTCATAATGTCTTAGCAGCTTCACATGCTCACATACCGAACGCAGTGTCGAGAAAATGGGCCGACAACGGTATGCCCGGTGCACAGGCGCTTAGAAGTTAGATACCGCTGCGTCTCGGTCTGTCTGCGTCTACTCCAAGCAAACATACAACACAAACATACATGATCGTGTCCTTAGCATCACATACATGCAGGGCTGCGGAGTCGGTGTCGGAGTCGGAGTCTGAGTCGGTCGGAGTCGACAGTTGTGACCGGAGTCGGAGTCGGAGTCGGAGT